CATAAGTGGGCAACGCCACGCCCATTTTCAATTTTTAAAAAAAGCCTGTATGCAGCTTTCTTCTGACATTTCTTCCGTAAAATTTAGTGTTTCTGACGTTTTTTGTTAGTCGGTTAACGCACTTTTAGTGATTTTCAACATAACCTTTGTATGGGAGGTGGGCACCAGACCACTTTGTTTTCCGATTTCTTCCATTTTTGAACTGTATATGGAAATGCCTAAAAGAAACGACTCTATACAGTTTGGTTGACATAGCTATAGTAGTTTTCGAGATATGTACAAAAAAGTTAGTAGGGGGCGGGGCCACGCCCAGTTTTCCAAAAAAAATACTTCCAAATATGCCCCTCCCTAATGCGATCCTTTGTGTCAAATTTCATTTTAATATCTTTATTTAWGGCTTAGTTATGACACTTTATGGTTTCCGCCATTTTGTGGGCGTGGCAGTGGGCCGACGGACAGACAGACATCCGGATTTCAACTCTACTCGTCACCCTGATCACTTTGGTATRTATAACCCTATATCTGACTCTTTTAGTTTTAGGACTTACAAACAACCGTTATGTGAACAAAACTATAATACTCTCTTTAGCAACTTTGTTGCGAGAGTATAAAAATGGAAGAGTGAGCAGTGAATAGCAGTATCGAGACCAATTTCCACAATAGTCGATTTTATGATTTTGAAATCGGTCAGAGGCTTTTATTTTGGCGATGTAACCAACTTTTAACCAACCAAGACAGCAACTCATGATTTGAAAAACTCGATCCACGAAGTCATCATATTGCCTGTATACAACAGTGACTATTTTTTGAAGTCCAAAGCAGTATAGAACTTGATCGTCTTAAAGTCCATAATGTAGTTAACTTTCCCACTCTCACTGCAACTCTATCGGTTTAATGGGTAACCAATACTCACCGTTCACTACTATTTAGTATAAGTAGTCTGAGTGATAGACAAAAATACATACACAATCGCTTTCTGACTTCTTTCTGAGAATGCAGTCAAAAACACAAAGACACTTTTGGATTTCGTTATCAAACTGGATCATCACACCTTTTCAAAAGCCTACAGCTGATGACTGTTGACAATTCAAAAGAGTACTTACAATGAATGCTACCTGTTACCGTTATGTTGAAAGGAGTTTCAGCAGTGGAAAAGTAAAAAATGTAATCAATGCGTTCAATCAGTGCAACTCATAAAGGTATGTACATATGTATAGCTATAAAGTAGCTTATGAGTTTACAGACTGGACTTACGGTCACTTTCTCATTTCACAATAAACTCGTGCAAATACTGATTGCTATCATTATGGCGAAATTAGATTTTGCAGAGCTACTGGAAATGTATACAGTTTTATGTATGTATGCTTYGTATTTGTACTTTTATTCAAAAAATCAATGATTTTCAAATCTCACTTACAATCTTCAACAATTGTAAAGCATTATGTCGCATATCTTTGTGATCGCTTCTGTATTTCGAAGATTAATTCTGCAGCTTCCTGTTTCCGTGAAAAAATTTCACCGAATTCGTTAAGTAGATATGTATCTAGGAATTTGATTTTTGTTATTTTCCCTTTAACACTTCCGCAAGGCACAATTAATCATTCTCAGCACACATTTGCCCAAAATTAGCGGTTTTTAGTAATTGAACCACAGTCTGGAGCAGCCCTCTGCTCAACCCTCACAATTAGGCATAGTATAAATGTACATAAGGATATGCATAGTATATATGCATGTATAAACAACATATACTTACACTCGCTGCATATTTATATATATTAAAGTTTGAAAAAAAAAAATTATTGAAAAAACTAAAAATTATAAAAAAAGACTAACAATTATGCTCCAACAAATGTAGATATGTATGTATGTTAGAAAGCAAATGCATGTAAGCGGAAACCTTATGTCTTGTCATTAATATATACACATACTAAGCACCCGCCCTCATCATAATCACATGGTCTCACCTCCTCTTTCCACCCCAACATAAATCACACTGAGCAGTTGCTTAGTTGGCTTGCGCCTGTAGACCGATTTTTCGTTGTGCAGGAGTCGTATTACAATTAAATTGACGTTGCTTATTGTTTTTGTAATTTGTATATACCCCTTTCATACATACTTACATATATACAAATACATAAATACTTTCATACTTGAATGCAAGTCTGCCTCACTATGTAGTACTCGTAGCCAACTTGCCTGTATTCCACGCCAAAGTGCGTGCCATCTGCCTTGTGTTTGTAGTTTTTGTAATATTTTTTCCTACGTTGACAGGCAAGTGTCCAATTAGCTGTAAAAACCTGTGAAATTAGTGTACTTGAAGGAAAATTTGTGTACTTTTTTTTCATCTTTTCATGAATGAATTGTTGAGGGTCGGAGTAATAATGGTTAACGCCTATTTTTTTAAATAGATTGTTTATTCAGAATTATTGATATTTTTATTATGTAAGCTAAAAAAAAGGAAATTTTTTACTCTTGGACGTAGTACCGTCTTCGATCCAAAGAATGAGATTTTAGATTATACCTTTGCATTTGTAACTAATTATCTAATATATGGTCTGAAAAGCTTTTGCTTCACTTCTATCAATGTCTTGTAGTAAAAACCTCAACTAGATCTCTAACCAATGTATTCGCCTGATTTGGAAGTCAGCTTCTCTTTGATCTAAAATACACTTAGAAAGTAGCTCGGTGGAAAGAAGTTTTCACTAGAATGAGGATGCCGAAATAAAAACAACCAGTTTTTCCGAAGCTTTTTACTTCATCGATGCCGTATCGGCAGTGCGAGAGCCATTACTTTGAATACGTTACTGTTTTTCATACATGTAGAATCTCTAGTCAAATATTTGTTAGCTTCTGAACCTAAAGACGTATAGTCTGCTGAGTACCGAAAGGTTTTGAAGTACACGTTTGTTTTGTCAGTTTAGATGATAAATAATATTTACTTCCTGTTTCGACATTAGAATCATCTGAAACGAAGCCAGTTAAAGGAATTGCTTCCAATGCCATCGGCTAAATCTTGAAGGACGTAGGCGAACCCAAAGTTCTTTTACTTGGTGTTTTGTAAAACTTCCGCTATAGAAGGCTGTGTAGGTTCTGCGCTTTTTTGGGATGTTTTCTTTTTTTCAGTGAAGTCTGTGGACCGTCGCTCGAATTTCATCAGCATAGGAAGGAAGTTTGGATCAGGGGCTTTCTGTAAGGAGTTCTCCGCCAATCCCTCCTTAAAGCTATCGCAGCACTGTAGTGTTTTTCAGGGAGAAGTGGTTGCTATCAAGCTAACGGTAGACGTATCTCTGCATACGAAGTGCAGCTTCTTAAGAGGGAGGTGAGCATTCATTCCGGCAGCAGGGCGGCAATACCAGCACTAAGCTCAAAGTTAGTCCACTCCTTGACTGTCCTAACTAGAAACAGTATCAAGCTACTTCATCATCAGATTCGTTTGGGTGCCTGATCACAGCGTGCGCTTATCGGGTTTTTAGGTTCCCTAACATACCGGTATTGTAGGATGTCCAAGCCAGATCCTTGTTGGGATCCATCTCTTAACCTAAGTGTGTCTGAGTAGACGTTTGGTTCGATACTCGAGAGCCGTACTTTTTCAAGTAGCTGCGATTCCTGAAAGTCCTTGAAATTAGCACATAAGCTTGACGATACGTTCAAGAGCTCATCGGTAAACCAAACGGTTTTGTCGTTTCAAGCACATCTGTGCCTAAATTCACCATAACAACCCGTTGCCTTGTGGATTTAATAAAACTTTCAAATGAAGTAGTTACTGTGATTTCCACATACCACAACTTAAACAAACATAGCAGTTACACGCCGAAATTGAATTAGCAGCCAACAAGCGTTTACAACTCTCCGGGGAGGTAATTATTTCAATCAATGAGCGATAAGTTGCTGACATATGTTGTTGCTTAAGTTTTGGTGTCGTTGTGCGCACGAAACAAACAACTCAACCCCTACCCCGCAAGGACAACACCAAAAATATATAAAAGCTGAAAAGTAGGAAGTTAGGTGGTTAGAAAATGGTGTAAACGCTTGGTGGTAGGCAACGAAATGAGCAAAATAAATCATAACACCAAAGTTTTTTTTTTTCAGCTTGCAGCATGCTTTATTGTTTGTTGTTGCCGTTTGTGGCTAAATTTCAGTAGCGTTACAAACATTAATAATTTCATTAGGTTCCTTTACGCCGGATGCTGCTGCAGCAGTGATTATTTAGAGAGCAAGAAAAGCGGATTTGCAGGCACAATAGCGATGAAGGCAGGAGCAGATGAAATGGTTGCAAGCAGTGCTGTGGGTTCTGCTTGGAATTCATTTGATTGTCATTTGACACCCAAATGAGGCAATTTTGCGTAAAATTCCGCAGTGCGTTAAGGGGGGTTGAAGTGCAGACAGACAAAATGTGTATACGATACTTATGCTGGGCGTTGTTTGTATGTTAGCAGATGTCCTTATAAACATGTATATGAATATATACAATTAAGTACATGTAGTTGTACATATTACTGGGGTTGTTTCAGCCAGTAGCAACAGGCATGCACGACAACTGCACCAGAAACTCCGCCTACTTTAGAATAATGCGTGAAATAGCGGAATATGTGAAAATGAAACACAAAAGGACTGGTTGGTAGTGAAGCAAGCAACAAATTGTATAAGGATCTAGTTGAACAGCAAGCGGATCGTTGTAACTAGTTATGCGGTTTATGTAGGTCAGAAGTTGTTTGCTGTGATATACTCGTACATTTGTATGATGGCACAACTTGCTCCTAAAAATACCAATAAATGTATTTTTACATTTCTTATTCCTTGAAAATAAATAGTAACACTTTCTTGACACCTTACCATATGATTATTTGTCAGTGCAGTGTTTACATCCGCTATTCACCTCATTCAAGTCATTTCGATAATATTTATATGTTTATCGGAAACTTATCGAAATAAGAAAGAATACTGATACTCCACACTTATATGTTTCCAAAATAAATATTATAATCAATATATAACAATTCAAAAATGTATTGAAAAACAAACACAAATCGAATTCTCCATCAAACATCCTTCACCGACTTCTTATTGTTATAGTTCACATGCACTAGACGTATACTACGTCCGACTGTCGCTACAGGACGCATAAAATTATTTATTGTCTCAGCAACAGGCGCCAGAATATCACGCATGGAGGTAAGAATATTGTAGATGAGTATAAATGGTGGTTGTAGAAAACCATTGAAGACCACCGTTAATATTGGTTTAATTAAATAATCGGAAGTCATGTGTAGAAAGCCCACAGCTAAAGTATTTATCAGCGAGACGAGTATGAAACGATACGCTTGTAGCAGAAAAGTCACGATGAAAGTGACACCAATATGCAAACTGCCAAAGAACTCAGCCCAGAAGCGTGTGGCATAGTAGGTGGCACGTTCAGCTAGCACAACGGACAACAGCTGCGGATGGTAATCGGTGGTACGCAAATATTCAGCACAACCATGCTCGAAAGGATAGATGCCGATGCGTGTTGGTGGCGGTGTGGCGTCTCTTTGTTGCTGCTGCTTGAAATCATCCTTACTTTTACGTTGCTGTGGCGCGGCAGGCTCGGGAAAACCGTCAAATATTTTGCCGCTCATGGGTGTTTTGTTATTTGAAATATGCGGACGTGCAGCACGCATATTATCAAGTGAATGTCGTAGACGTTGAAAAATCGTATTATCGCTATTGCCGTGGTGTGCGCGACATGTGCACTGGTTCGTGGGCTTTTTACCGGCACCTTCATGGTCCGCAAAAAGTTTGCGCTTACTTTTTTTAACGCTGCATTTCAGCATAGTTGCGGGTGTGCTTTTTGAGCGGTGCGCTACACGTCTCGAAGCCGCTTTATATAGTTGAAATTCGATTTTGGAAGGCGTTGGATGGCGTTTGCCCGGTTGACGTGTGGAAACCTCTGGAACGGCATGCATCTCGTAGAGTAATTTTGATGGATTGTCGGTAGTTGTTTCCGTCTCAACTTGTGTGTCGTTGGTGAATTTGCTGTACTTAAGCTTGTTGCCACGATGATCATGATAGGGCAGCTGACCATTTTCCGTCTCCGTTGAAGAAAGTGATGATTGCAGCAGATTTTTGAGCGGCGACGACAGTTTGGCCGTGACGCCAACGTGTTGCACCTCTATTAAATTTGTTTTTGAGTTTGAGTTGCGTTCGTGTGGCGTATCGGACATACTTCTTGTTGTTAATTTTTTTTTTTTTTTATGCAAGAAAAAATATAAAAATTATTTTGTTGTATGACAACAGTTTGACAATAGAGAGACACAGGGAGGGATAAATTGCGGAAAACAATATTTAAAGTAATATAATTTAAACAGACTGAAACATTTTAAAGACACGAAAAAGTGCCAACATTCCATTGAACAGAAGCTGTAATACCCTACGTAAACATCTCGTTAATAATTTGTATTTAATATATTTAACCGGCTCTAGGAAACTTAATATGCCTTGCCCAGCGTATTCTACTAACTAATAAAATCAAAATATGGACCAGTAAAATATTTAAAATTAACGGATTAATAAAACCGCGTGTTCTCTATTGCATACCACAGCGTCATCTATGGTTGCCGAGCACATGTATGACTGAGGAATTTCGGGGTTGATAACGAATAGACATCAGCATAAGAAATCGAACAGCTGTTCAATTCATGATAGCTGCCATACCGAAAATTAGCCCTTTAAAAAATTATATTTTCTTAGGGTTTTATGTTTTTTTGTTGATTAACACTGTTATTTTATAAAATTATTGTGAAAAATAAAATATCTTATTAACATAAATTTTTTTTGTGTCAAATTTTAGCTACATTAAAATATTACAAAGAATTGCATTAATTTACTTTCCGGCAATTGCGCATGACTCTGTTGGTCCGGCAACGATAGCTTTATTCTAATCAGAAGTTGAAGTACGGAACTTATTTTTTTTTACAGTTTAGTAATATTTTTTAATTTCATTCTAATTTCAACAATTTTTACGCAATATATTTATCTAAAGTAAACATTAGTGATATTTGTGGCAAATTCCAAAAAGGCTGATAAGATTTGTGCCCAAAGCACGGCATACTTAAAACGCACAAAACAGCGACAATAGTCTATAAAATAAGCAACAAAAACAGAAAAGATATCGCATAAAATATATTCCATTTATATATACATACACAAAAAGTAAAATACAAAATCATTGCATTTCATAAAACTAAATGTTATCGGCCGCTTGGAGAAACGTACAGCAGGGTGTTGTACGCAATCTGACCGCTACTTATTTTCGAGGTGTGTGCAGTGGCGTACGCCCGCTCGCTGGTGCGAGTGCACTTGTACTTGCCACCAACCGGCAAAGTCCGGAATTTGTGTCGCTGCGACGAAATGACAACAAAAGTGATTGTTTTGAGCATAAACAGCTATATAAAAAACTAAATTAATAAAATTAAAATGCTGACACTTCACTAAAGTTTACCATTTTCCTTTTTTGTAGTACAAAAATTAATCAAAGTTGGTATAAACAGGATGCATAGCTCTGTAGAAGATGTGCAGCTGAACTCACTACACATAAAGGTGTTGCCAGCGTTGCAAGACAATTTTATGTATTTGGTAAGTGTTCAAATATAAAATAAAAACAATAAAAATAATATGTTTATAATTTAGATTATCGATAGCTCTACAAAAGAAGCAGCCATTGTAGATCCCGTCGATCCGGAGAGCGTGCTCGCTGCTGTAAGAGAAGAAAATGTGCATCTCACTAAAGTTTTAACTACACATCATCATTGGGATCATGCCGGTGGTAATGAAAAGCTGGTAAAACTTTATGGCAAACCTTTAGCTGTATATGGTGGCGACGAGCGCATTGGAGCACTTACAAATAAAGTCACACAAGATGATAAATTTGAAATTGGTAATCTTAAAGTGAGGTGCCTTTTCACGCCCTGTCACACCACAGGACACATCTGTTACTTCGTTGAATCGCCAAATAGTGACGACAGAGCAGTTTTTACCGGTGACACCCTCTTCCAAGGTGGATGTGGACGTTTCTTTGAAGGCACACCCGACCAAATGTACTCAGCGTTGTGCCAGAAACTGTCTTCTTTGCCGGAAGACACCAAAGTTTTTTGTGGTCACGAGTATACGTTACAGAATATGGCATATGCGCGCCATGTCGAACCTATGAATGAGCGTATTATGAAACGTATAGAATGGGCAAAGTTGCGACGTGCTACCAAAGCACCAACTGTACCGTCAACTATTGGCGAGGAGAAATCTTGGAATCCATTCATGCGTGTACATGAGCCTAATGTACAGAAACATGCTGGTGAGCAAGATCCCATTAAAACAATGGGAAGTTTACGCAAGGAGAAAGATAACTTTAAAGCATAAAGTTTGTTGGTTGAATGAATAGAAAAATGGTGTTGGGTGGTATGTTAAATATTATGCGAACACTTTGAATATTTCCATAACTACATATGTATATTTTGTTGTTATATTCGTTGTTTTTATGTGTATGTTAATTCCTAAAAATGTGAATTTAAAATTTACTATATATCGACACAGAGCATATCAATTTTATTTGTGTTTAGAACGCTTATGAAATGATAACGCAGCTGACATTTTCTTTAAAATTTTTGCTATTGTTTTTGAAACTGTTGGAATTTCAATTACAAAACACACCAAATTAATTCATAAATTTATGTACGTCAAAAATTGAAATAACATTTTGTGATTTATGCCTGAAGATTGAAAATTGTAAATTTGCAATAAAAAATTAGCTGAAATAAATGTGCTCACTATTTGGGCGTGGCTTAGCCCATTATATATATAACAACGGTTGGTAATATGATTTATTTTAATATATGTATAAACAATTATTGTTTTGAAAATAATGTATTTAAAAATGCATAATACCTAGCGTTGCATGCACGTCGTGCGTGGGCCAATTGTAAATCAGCTAAATCAACACCACCCGCTGTAACCGAACCGCACAGCAAAATTGTAGATGTGTGTTGCGAGGGTATGGTTGTTAAGATAATACCGGCACGCAGCAATAACTATATGTATTTGGTAAAGTATTTTGATTTCTACCAATTTACATATGCTATAAACACACTTGTTTTTCTGCAGATAACTGATTTGCCCACTGGTTGTACGGCCGCAATCGATCTCTCCGATAACAAAATTCTCTTTGAAATACTTAAAAAGGAAAATTTAAAGCTTTCCTTTGCTTTTATAACACATCATCATGAGGATCATTCAGTCGGTACGCAAGAGCTGGCAGCTGCGTGTCCCGATGTGAAAATATGCGCTGGTGATGAGCGCATCAAGTCTGTTAATCATTGTGTTAAGGATTGTGAGCAATTGAAATTGGGTGAGATGACTATGAATTGTATGCACACACCTTGCCACACCGTCGGTCATTACTGTTATTTTGTGGAGTGTGGTGCGGGTGGACCGCCAGCACTTTTTACAGGCGACACACTTTTCCAAGGCGGTTGTGGTGGCTTTGATGAGGGCACACCTGATCAAATGTATGCGATTGTAAAACGTTTCCTTGAACTACCCAAAGAGACGCGTATCTTTGGAGGTCATGAGAATACAATTTTAAATCTACGCTTTGCTCAATGTGTTGAACCAGAGAACTCTAGCATTGCCGCACGTTTATGGTGGGCACAGAAGCAGCGTGAAAATAAATTACCCACGCCGCCCTCAATGCTGTGTGAGGAAAGAGCATTTAATCCATTTTTGCGTGTCGATCATCCGGATGTGCAGCATTACACTGGCGATACAGATCCGAGTTATGTATTGTTTTGTTTGCGCAAACAACGTGATGCTTTCAAGTAGCGGGTGCCTCAAGTGAATAATAATAGCAAACAGAACGCGCATTTATATTTAGTTTTTATACGTTTTAATATAATTTTACGTATATCCATGCAAATAATTTGTATTTATGTATATATAAACTGTTTTAAACATTACTAACTGAATTTAATTTGTTTATCTAATACAAATGCATTTATAACAAAGCAGTGCAAATTATTATTTTAGTTTTTGTTCATTTGTGTCTGCCTGTGCTGCAATGCAGAAAGTGCCGTTATAATTTTTCCATGCAGTTTTCATTAAAAGTGCATTGTTTGACTTTATTAAAGCGTTTAGTGAAATTTTGTTGAATAAATTTAAATTTAAATGAAGTAAAGTGAATATCTGAATATCGTAGATGTGTTCATTTAGTGTATGGTGTCGGGGAAAGTATATATTTGGTGTCGTGTTATTTGCAAATGCATGGCTTGGTCGTATGCATTTTGCTTTGCTGTAAATTGTGTCTAATAGCGCGTTTTGTGAATAATTATGTGTGAATATTGAGTACCTATGAAATAATATAGTGCTTTGAGAGCAAGAGTAAAATAGCGTAAAGTGATTGAAGATTCCGTGATTGGGACATCACAAATTGCATATGTATGAAGCGGTGAGTACCGGCGCTGTTCACTTGATTACTTTTTGGTACTGTTTATGGCTGTTGCGTACTACATGCAAATGTATTTAAGAATATATTTAAGAATGTAGACATACAATATATGTACATACATATTTAATGCTATGTTTAAAAACCATGCCCACAAAGAAAATATGTTTATTTATAGAAACGTTTGATCTTTAATTAGAAATTAGCAGCAATTTGTTTAAGCTTTTATTACTCTGCCTTCAAAAATAAGATCTAAATAGTGTACACCATTCGTAGATAGCTCAAGTTTTTCCATATAATCCATTACCGGTAAATATGATGGCTTTAAACTGGGGCGCAATGTGAAATTGTTGATGCTGTAAAGCGTATTCTACAAAATATGAAAATATACATATACATATTTTTGCAATTCCTAAAAAAAATATTATTTTTACCTCAATTAGCGGACATAAAAGCACTGGTTTGGTTGCTTGTTGCAATTCAATTATGTTTTGTTTGATAATTGTACTGTCATAATTTCCACTCAACATATCACAAGCATTCGTTATTTCAGTTATCACATTAGTTGTTTTGTTATTTTCTAAAAGAATGTAGAAGTTATCGCGTATTTGTAAATTTGTAATATTTTGTTGCATTTTAAGTTGTAAGGTAAAGGTGCTTAAGCCAATTCTGTTCCTGCCACATATAAATCGCTCAACTCCTATAAAACCTTGCTGGTGTATAGTATAATTGACGCGATCTAATAATATGGCATAATTACGCTGAAAATCAATTCAATTAATAATTTAAATTATTACTTGCATATTTTGAAATGCTTACTTACCTTTGCTCCTGTTTTAGCTGAATATATTACCAGTATCCAGCAACACATCAGTGTCCGTACGATTTCAGCCAATTTTGGCATTGCTTTTTGTTTAAATGCGGTTTCAGTTGCTGATTTATACAATCTTTGAGCCATAGCATGTTGTTTATGCATTTAAAAATCGATTAGTATTTTTACGATTTTTTATTGTTTTAAATATTTAAATTGTAATTGCTAGCTAATGAGAATTAAAAACCGTGACATGTTTTTTTTTAAATAATTTATTGACTAAAAATAATTCCAATTAAAAATTGGATAAAATAAAGTCGTTGAACGATACAAACCGTCGAATAACAACTGGAGAGATTGCTGATCAAATATGAACCGGACTGACAAAAAACATCATTTTCACAAATTCTAATAGAAATTTTAGGCGTGGATCCGACTGTTGTAGGTTGTATGTGTCGTTTATTCACGAATTACGAGTGTTTACTAAAACTGCCTCCCATCATTATGGCTACCATGTTTGTTTCCGGATTTGTGTCAGTATGTTCAGTAAGTTTTGCTATTTCATCAAGTTATGGTTCACTTTGGAAGAACGCTTAGAAATTGTCCAAGAATTTTATGCAAATTCACGTTCTCCGGTGGTTACTGCAAGAGCTCTGTGCGCAAAATACGATCGTCTCAGATTAAGCGCATTTTTGGCTTAATGGTTTCGTCAACAAATAAAATTGTCGCTTCTTGTTTAGGAAACGCATTTACATCCCCAAAACTTGACCGTTTTGTGTGGAGGCTTCGTTTCTTTGGAAATGGTACGGAAAATGCCGTTACCATTAATAACGAGCGTTATAACACGTTGTTGATCGATTTTTTCCCCAGGAATTTGATGAAGCCGACGCGGCCGATCGCTATTTCGAATGAGACATTGCGACGCCTCCCTCCGTGTAAGTTCGGAGACTTGTTAATTTCGAGTAATGGCACATTCAGATTTCAAATCAAAGGTTTATGCTCGGAGATAATATTCAGCGCGCTATGTCCGAAATTCCAGCCGAAATGTTGCATCGAGTCATCGAAAATTGTTGTATGTTATTCTCGTAACGGCTTAACTCAGACGAATGCTACCGCGTTGACAGTCATTGGCGTGGTAAAGATCTAGTTATGTTTCGGTTACGTAAATCCGTGTCGTGAGTTTGTGTATATGTGCCGTTTCGCCTCGGCTAACCAGTGTTGGAACACTACTCTGGGAAAGTGTGATGGTATCGTGTTGTTCCCTGTTGTGGGTGGCATTTCTAATTTGGCAAACTTATCATAGTCATAGGAATTGCTTTCGCTCATGATGTATTCCTCACTCTAACCTAAAAAAAATGGTATATATGGTATAATCTAAAAGTGAACATCTGTGAGTACTACGACATAATAAATACGCAAAAAGAGTAAAATTAAGTCCTTTGCTTACAATAATTAAGCCCGTAACAGGAGTGAAGAAGAGCAACGCAGTACCAACAGAAGAAATAGAATAGGAAGCAACAAACAACTCCACTTTTTCATAGAAACTAAAAAATAGTAACTCTAAAGTATACAAACGTTTTTACAGTACGTGTAAAAGCGCAATAACCGAGAATATGAAGAACACTCAGCATAATGGTTGACAGTGAAAAAATGCGCATGCAAAAGTTGCTAGTGAAAGCGCAGAGTCGGACAAAAACACGCATATTCACTAACAGCACGTAGAGGATGTGAACCGAGGAATTGTATTGCAGGCGCACGGGAAAAATATAAGCGACTGTGACGCCGATATAAGTGCCATTATGCAGTAATAACAGAAAAAATAAGCTAGCAAAAATGGCAGCAATTCCATAAGAAATAAGGACGCCAAGAAGTATTGCAATCTTACATATATATAAATATGTATCCATGTAATTCCTTATGCTTTTATATGGAAGTAGTAGTGTATCTTGAAAAAATGTGAAACGTTAACATTGGCGAGGAAAGTAACAAGAATATCTGAGAATGTACATAAATATTTGTAAGTAACATCTACAGTCAATGTAGCCACAGAGGCGCCGTTGAGGCAATAACAATACTAACACACTAAAAGTTCAGTACAAAAGCAAATCTATTTTGCAAGCGAAGGATTCACTTTACGCACTCAAACATATATAACTAGTTTTAAATCATGTTGAACAGTGGTGTAGTATTTGAAAACTTAAATCTTAATTACAAGAAATTTACCAAAAGTTAGCATATACATATGTATGTATTAATAGTTTTTCGTGTCTGCCCTAATTCTAACTTTAAAGATAATTTTAAGGAAATTACACAGAAATTTCATATTTATTGGACTATTCATTGGCATTACATTTTTGAAGATCATCCCTTTCAAATGTTGGCCGTGGTTACGTCTCAGATGAACCATCCGTTGAGTACAATTTACGGTGACTCGTTCGAGCATTTGGACTGGTAACTGGCGAATGACACGCGTGATGTTTTTTACTCCCAGACCTGAATCGAAGCAGGATTGTCCGCATAGACTTTACATATCCCCACAGACGAAAGTTTAACGATGTGCTGGGCAATCGACCGACTCAAAATATGACATTATCTGTTCACCGAAGTGTTTTCTTAATAAATCCATTGATTGATGAGCCTTCTTGTCTTGTTGAAACCAAATGTCGCCGAGATCACTAACTAGTCATTGACGGTTACGTTCTAACCGCTTTCATTTTGGAAGAAATATGTATGAATGATTCCACCGATCCACAAACCATTCCAAACCGTTGTTTTTTTTTGGATGAAATGACCGCTCTTGAGCCTCTTCAGGTTGCTCTTCGGAAATGCGGAAGTTGTGGTTGTTTACATACCCATTGCGCCAGAAATGTGCCTCATCGCTGAGTAAATTTTTGCTCGAAATAGTCATCTTCTTGGAACCAAAAGATCGAAGCGATGCCGCTTGGGAAGGTCGAGCGGGTTCAGTTCTTGCCCTCGACGTAAAATGTGCCAAGTCGTTTCATACGCCAGTGCGAGTTGCTGCGAACGGCCTCGAATGGACTCTCCACGGTCTTCGTGTACACTCTCAGCTACGGCTGCTATATTTTCTTCACTGCATGCTAAACGTGGTCTATTCGTTCGTATAATATTATCTAATAATGAATGCTGGGTCCTATGATGGGTGATGGTGCTGTGAATAGTACGCTCAGTAGATCGATTATGCTGACTACAAGTTGAGCGAAGCGTGCGTTACACATTCCATATAAAACGATTGTAAATGCCCAGGAAACGTGCTGGTCCTCCCACCTCTTAGTTTTACAGCAGTTTTCAGTGTTGTTAGAACTTATGATATTCTTTTTGACTCTTTTTTAGATGTCTTCCCCATTCCATTGCAAATTACTTTTAAAAATTCTTCATACTTCCTTCAATTTGCAATGTTTTCATTTTTTAAACTTTTGAAACTTCCCAACACTTGTTGCCGACAGTGTTTTCCTACTGGCAAAGTGCATTACACACCATAACAGCACTTGAACGTTTGAATGCAGTTATTGAAGCAATTGTGTCGTTCGCTGTTGGTATTGTGGTTGTATACAAACAAACATATATACTTCTTATGCTGCGATTGAGGACGAAAGGACAAATGTCGAAAGTGTTGAAATTTAATTTTTTGCTATCGCATTTTGTCTGATTTACTTACTTCCTTTGCAAAGTACGAAAAAATTTATTGCATTTCCCGACAACTTATGGCCAAAAAAAGGGAGCAAAGACACTGTAAGCCACAGGATGGAGCAAGAGGTAAGCGTAAAATATTGCAGTATTATCACCACATTGCAATGCATAAAGGAGAAAAACGGAGTAAAAAAGGACAATGCAAACAATGCGAAAATAAGCTCGAGCTCAAGCATTGAGAAAAACAATACAACAAATCTACGGTACCAACAGCTCCGGTTCAGTCATCATACAAATTGAGTAGTAAAATCAGAAGTGGGATATACTCTTCAACAAGTATTGCACTTGCAGCAACACACACCTTTACTAAGTGCATGTGTATGATTTTTTTTGTTTGTGGTATTTTGTCCTTCAACTGTTTGCTGTTGTCCAGATGCTTGAACGACTGTAGTGCCTGCAAACAACAATTCAATTGTAGGTGGACAATCGGCGTCAACGCAAGATTGCTTGCAACGCTTCACTACTGCCACAGCAGTTGGTTGTCGAACATCGCTCAAAATTGCCGCACAAACAAAGTTGAGTTGATGCATAGCTTGATGCGCTAACGGTGCGGACGTAAAGCTCGGAAGGAAGTTCAGAAGACTGCGCAGTTTACCATACCCTCAATACTGGCCGTACAATGGCCGCAGTTCAGTGCAGTTGTTCCAGTTGGTCAGCTGAAGATTTGGTCAATAGAAAGCAAAAATAGCAGATAAAATACTCAATGATACTTGGAATTTGCAACGAATTGTGATGAAAAACATAAAAACAGGAAACCGATATAAGAAAACTAAAAACATTTTGAACAGTCTGGAGGAAGCAAAGTTTAGCAGCTAGTAACATGTTTTGTAGTTTTTTTTTGCTTTTGGGGTAATCTAAATTTGTGTTTAAAAAAGTTTTAGCATTAACAAGTTAATAACATATTTTTGAGCAACAAATTTATTTTCAACCAACTGGGTTTTCAATAAGAGCGCTACAAAATTATTTAAATTAAACAAAAACAGTTTTGGATATGAATAAAATTCTTTATTCCTGTGGAAGTACATTCGATGCCATTATGTATGAAACTTTTTTTTCGAGAAGCAATGGTGACTCATGGAGTACGCGTGGATTGCTGCGCAAACTTTGCTTATTGGCGAAACCATTCATTCAGAAATGAGCCTCATCACCGTAAAAATTTTTTTTCAATCAATATCCGGATCATTTTCAAGCTGTTTTTCAGTCCAATTCAAAAACATACCGACGATTCTGGTGGCCACGCGGCTTCAGTTCTTTCGTCATTTAATCTTGTAATGATTTAGTCCAAGATCTTTTCGGAAAATTCGCCACGACGACTTCGTAGTTCTGCCCAACGCTTGAGAACGACGTGTGAGAGACTGATTTGGGTCTTCCTCAATTGATGCGCTTGTGTCAATATCGACATTAC